ATCCAGGCTATGCCCCGTGAGGAAGGACGTAGTTTTAGGGTCACTCTGAATATTTGAGTTGCAGCGATCATTTCGATCCCGAAATCGAAATCGTTTTGCCCAGCTCTACAAGGGCAGGATGAGTCCAGGAACCCAAATAGCTGTCCTACGGTACCAGGTTTGCTTTTCGCAAGAGAGTGGAGTCTGGACGCCCTGCTCCCCATGCTCGCAAAACAGTATTTGCTGAGCCTAGTGCAGTTCGGTCATGGAAGTGCAGCGTCTGCATCACGAGCTCCCCATGCTCCCAAACCAGTATTTTGCTGAGAGGCAACGGTACTTTGAGTTGGAAAGGAACCTGGCTTAGTGCAGTTTGGTCCTGTAATGGAAGTGCAGCATCTGCATCAGGAGCTGGCAGCAAGTAGAGCTCGTGTACAGAGTCTCGTGGAGCAGTTGGACGATGTCAGGACTGGGGTGAAGAAAGCCGAAAAACAGCTTACGTACAATAACATAAAGAAAGACTCTGAGCCGCTCCAGTTTCTGACTGGTTTGCCTTCAGGTGTTTGGACCGCTCTGTGGGACTTCTTTGAGCCTAGCCGAGAAAATGTACTGCGCCGCGCCAGATCTGCGAAGACGGAAGCTGAGGGACGGCGGATACAGTTGGAGATGGCCGTAAATCGCCAATGAGCATGTAATGGAGGATCAGCTGCTATTGGCATTGATGTGTCTAAGCCTGGGCCGAATGGAACAGAAGCTGGCATGCGTGGCACAAGTTAATCATCCGTTTCACGGTATATAGCTAGCTGAGCTGGAGAGATGTCTTGTTCCTCCGTTAGGGCATGATCCCCATTTGGGCGAGCTGGCGAGATCTTCAGTCATCAATGCCATGTACCGCAAGACATTTTGCATTGTGGATGAAACAGTTCTATTTTGCCATGCACTTAGGGTTCTCGCACCGGCACGGCCCAAGACCCAACAGATCCTTGCGCTCTTATTTTCTCCCATAGTAACATTGCTGATCACAACACCCGGTAGCCAGTCGCAGATGCAACCGAATCAACCAGGTTCTCTTACTCTTTTTTTCCAATACTGAAACCAAGGTATACCAATATTTGCATCGAATGCAGTGATGATTTCAATACTGTCCACCAGTACAACGCATTACCAGACTGGCATATAATCATGATAATAATATTATCCATTTCGCAATCACTGTCATTGCTTTCTTAGATCTCAAATCATCAATATCGGACGGGGTAAACCGTCTATCATCTTATATTATATCATCATTAATATCCTGCTACTATCCTCCTCTAACGATGAGCTCGAAGAAACGAAACAGCTGTCTAGAGGCGTAAACAATATCTGTCAACGGAAGTGTCCTTGCTGTGCTGGTGTGTTTATGCTTCGTGCATTAGTTCGGCCAAGAGCGCATGGTGGTGCCGGGTTGAGGATGTTGTACAGCGGAGTATGACCGAAAGCTCTGTCACAATGTATTTTATTAGGAAGGTATAGAAACAGAAAAAAACTATCTTGATCTTGGGCGTAAACAGCCCGTCTCACATTAAATATACTACAATTAACTCTGAACATGCAGTCTTCCTAAGAGAGAGAGAGGGGGGGGGGGGGTATATTCATAGGTTCGAAAGAACCGCACACACACTTTGCTGCAGACAGCGGCAAGCTTTGGCCCTCGTACTTCGAAGAGGGAGCAATCCACTGCGCTACGCTTGCGATTAACAGCAAGCTTCGACCTTTCAAAGGTACGACTCATCACTGGCTCTGGGGTAATGTTCCTGGAACAAATGCCTCATTGCCGACTGAGGGCCAGGGAGCACGCAATCTGCCTTCCTGGGCGAGAAGTGTTCCAGCACAAGAAGCAGCACGAATACATGCTGACAAAGACCACCATCACCACCAGCCGGCACACAGCCCACTGTTCTTCAAACACCATCCACTCCTTCCATGTGTTTGCACTGTCCTCCTCTAGCTCTTCACGCTCAACAAATACCACGCACTGCTCATTGTTTTTTTATAATGCTTCCTCTGGGTTGGCTAGCCCTTCGACTTGTCAAAACAGCGATCACCACTGCTATCGTCACCTCATAGCAGTCGCTTCCACCAGTGGCTTTTCCTGTCTTTGCAAGGTGTCCAAGGATGGCTGCTGTTGTCACTACAGGCAAATCAGAAGTACTTTATTGGCTGATGTCCAGCCAGATCGTTGGAAAATCGATTTTTCCACTTCAGGGCTGCTGATCGCGATCGCGACTTGGTGACTTGGCAGCACCACGGTTACCTTCATAGAAGATGGCTCTGGAGAGGAAAAGGCAGACCAGAAAAAGGTTACTATTATCTTCAGCACCGATCTCAAGGAGAAAGAAATACGGTCTGCTGTAGCCTAGGCACAAAATAAGTTTCACAACACGATTCGCGATTCGAATATTTCAACAACAAAAAAACTCACCTCTGGAGTAACTCCTGTTTGTGGCCCGAGATCGTTCCCTCCCGCGCCTTGAAAAAATCCTGCAGCTGCATCACAGTCTATGTCTCTCTCGGAGACTCTGCTCCTACCAGCAGGAGGTTCAGCACCGCTCGAAGCCATCGCAAACCACTTGAACTAAGCAGACGACATTCCAAAACAAACCTGAAACACACTGTCAAAGATGCTGTCACGTTCAAAAACTAGCTCGGTCGCGAGTGAGGTTGCCCCCGTGCTCGAACCCAGTATAATAAGGGGATCGGTCTATTACCCGGCTACCTGAGTTTAAGCATGCATGTGTACCATACGCCTGTAGGGAGTAGTTCGAGTTGCTGCTGATTGCTCTGCTCTCCCTCCCCGTGCAGTTCAGTAACCCGCACGTAGTATCACAGATACATCGTATTCTCTCTCTCCCCCCGTTTACCCGCAGTTATTAGTATCCTATTCTCTTACTATGTGCTTCCATAGCTTTTACTATGTTCTTCCATAGCCACTTCTAGGCTAAGCCTTCGCCGTCATTTTATTGGGTCGTCATCCCGTTTGAATGTGCGAAGTGAAATAAAAACCAACCAACCAGCACCAGTTTTGCTGGGCGAAGCGGGTGTTCGGAGAACAAGTGCACGTATGTTGCGGCTGGTAAAACAGAGACACCAGCGCCCGTGTCTACTTCCATAGATAACCATGATAACTCCTGTCCCGCGATCTGTGCGGTTATCGTGAGTGGTGCTGGTGGCTTTCCGCTCGACTGGATCTTGGAGACACGCACATAGCGAATGCTGGACTGGTCGTCCTCGTCGCTCGCAAACAAAATTAATAGTTGTGACCTGTCATCGCTGAGCCTTTGCGCTTGAATGATCTGGGTCGCGGAGTTGGTCGCGCTCCTGGCTGCTCAGCTGGCTTGCTTCGGCAAACCCGCTGCAAGTGGCCTTTCTTACCACACGCATTGCAAACTTCGTCCTTGTAGCGGCAGTCAGGCGCCTTGTGTCCAACGCCACCACAGCGAAAACACGTAGATCGTGCACCAGGCACAGGCTTTCTCGATGGGGTGCGAAGTTTGTGGACACCACCGCTAGCGTTCTTCGTATCCGTCGCGGAGACTTCCAGAGCGTCCCTGGTGGCCAGCTCATCAGCCAGCGCAGCGCGTCCTTGACGGCGTTGTCGAAAGTCAGTGCGTCCATGGCCAGGAGTTTCCTCCGCGTACCTGCACTCCTCAGTCCGCAGACGAAGCGATCTCGCAGAGCTTCTGCAAGATGGGCATTGAACTCGCAGGTCCTTGCCAAACGGCGAAGTTCAGCCACGTAGGCGGCGATCGATTCTCCTGGACGTTGGTCCCTCTGGTAGAATCGGTATCGTTCTCCAATGACAAGTGGTTTCGGTGCGAGATGTCCTTTTAGAGCCGCGCAGAGTTCCGCAAACGTCTTGTCAGTTGGGGCGTTCGGGGCCAGCAAATCTTGCAGCAGTTCAAATGCTGGACCTCCGATGACCGTGAGCATCGTTGCTCGCTTCAGGTCATTATCATCGATGCCGTTGGCTGCCAAATACTGCGTCAAGCGTAGTTCACTTGTGCAGTACGCAACTGGTTGAATATTACAGAGTAGAGCAATATAAGGAAGATAATGGAGGTAGTCCAAACACACGAGATAGCTAGCATGCAGGAATGGATGAATGCCAAGTGCGGTCATTCGACACTTCCGTTAAGGTCTAGCATTACCAACAATAGTCTGGCCCTCAGGTGATTCACAATGTCTGTGGTTACAAACACCACATTTACCACCATATTTATCAACCATAAGTACAGCTGCAGTAGTGTCTTCAACTAATTACTTCAATCTCCCGAGCCAAGCTCCGTATGAAGACATCCAAGGAGAAGATTGCCTGATGTCGATGAGTCCAGCGGGGACGAAACGTACGTCGCAATCGAGCTATGTCGTTGCTGTGTCATCTTCTATGTGCCATGCGCTACTTGATGTACCAGCCTGTTATGTCGGATACCGCCAACCATGCATCGACTAGGCGCCAGGCGCGAACTGATGGTGGTGGTGGTGAGAAGGAGAGCTCTGTGCTAGAACTAATTACTTTGCAGCTTAGAGAGCGTGTGTGGGCAGGCGTGTGTTTACCGCCATATTGCCAGGTGTGTCTTTACCACCATATATATCAACCATAAGTACAGCTGCAGTAGTGTCTTCAACTAATTACTTCAATCTCCCGAGCCAAGCTCCGTATGAAGACATCCAAGAAGAAGATTGCCTGATGTCGATGAGTCCAGCGGGGACGAAACGTACGTCGCAATCGAGCTATGTCGTTGCTGTGTCATCTTCTATGTGCCATGCGCTACTTGATGTACCAGCCTGGTATGTCGGATACCGCCAACCATGCATCGACTAGGCGCCAGGCGCGAACTGATGGTGGTGGTGGTGAGAAGGAGAGCTCTGTGCTAGAACTAATTACTTTGCAGCTTAGAGAGCGTGTGTGGGCAGGCGTGTGTTTACCGCCATATTGCCAGGTGTGTCTTTACCACCATATTTTATCAACCATAAGTACAGCTGCAATGGTGTCTTCAACTTCATTCTCACAATGTACAGTGCAAAGACAATTTCTGAAAAGTATCTTGTGGATCAGTTTGCTTGAAACTGATGCAGGTTTAGCTATGTTTCGTGCAGGTGGGAGACGCCATTTGGCTCTCCTAACTACGAATCTTGGACGTCGATCAGCGTCTGGGGAAGCAGCGAAAGCCCCGCTACCGGATTTCGACACAGATGTGAATATTCCTGAGCATAAGCTACGTCGACCCGCAGTACCACAGGGCAGCTGGTCAGGACTGGACGGGTTGAAGCAGAGAACACAGGGATCTCTCATACCGGAGACTCTAAAGGGCATGGCTGAGGATAAAGATTTCCAAGTCACTGCTGAGCAGCTCCGTAAGATGGGTCAGGTGAAGTGTTTCCATGTCAGATACTCCTGGAGAATACAAGTCGCAAGTTCGTTATTTCTTTCAGTGAGAAATGCTCGTTGCCATTCTCTTTGCTGTGGAATTGAAACAGGAGCAATGAGCTCACTTACCCCGGAACAGCGTCGCAGAGCCGAGGAGAGCCGGCAGAAGGCGCTGGCCAGACGCAGAACTGCTCAAACTAGTGCTTCTGCTACAAGTAACTCGACAACAGCAACCTCTGGTGGTAACTTCCACAGTAGACATGGTGCTGCAGTTGCTGCTGGAAACCAGACAAGAGCATTTTCTACTACTAGTAATAGCAGTGCATCGAAAGCCCCGGTTTCAGAATCCCGTAGGAATGCGTATGCCCAGTACTATCAACAAAAGCACCAGGGCATTGTTCCAAGTCGACCCCTGAGCAGATCTGAAATGGCAGCAGCTGCCACTGCCAGTCAGCTTATCAACGTGATTTTTCGCATGACGTCAAGAGATCGCTTTGCCGCCGACCTACCAAGATCTTCCACACAGATATTGGAAGTGTTCAAGTCCATGCGCACGAAAAACTACAGTAAGGCTATTTATTAATACTTCGACATTGCGGTGTTAATCTATCCTCCCTCTCTTGCCGGTTTGGCAACGGGATGGTATATAGAAGGTCACAGTCCAGGGTGTCAGTTTGGAGGTGACACGGGTGAGGTCAGTACAGGCGAAGCACTGCTGCTGATGGGACATGTGCACACGTGTGTGCGAGTACCGTAGACATTTAGCCTCTAACAAGGTGATGATAGCAATGCTACTGCAGAAACCATATCAAGCAGTCAACATGTTGTATTCAATGAGTTCCCCGAGAACTTGTAACATGGAAATTGTGGGCACAAGTTACGCGATCGAGTCCACCAACTAAACCAGATTTTGAACAGTCAGACGTGCACAATCTAGCACAAAACTGACAAGGAGTACTGGGACATTCCACAGCATGAAAGTCAGCTTGAGCACGGCTCGATAGCGCTAACCAACGGCCTTCCTACTTGGAAGGTTCCTGGATATGCCCATGTGCCCACAGTTTCCATGTTACAATTTGTTTCCTGGGCTCACCATCTGAGTTCCCCGAGAACTCTTATTCTATATTGAGATCTGAAATTCTTTCTGACGTTAACCTCACTGATTTGACGTTAACCTCACTGATTCGTCAGGCGAAATAGCACGTCATAGTACATTCGAGATCAGCGGGAAGAAGATGACGACGTCCACTAATTTAGTATCTGTGCACACGAATCTGCTGTGTGTGTTACTCTGTGTGTCAAGCTATGGCATCATCGCCTGTGGTTCCATGCCTAGCATGTACGTCTGAACCATCCTGCAAAGTTTGAATGACGTAGGTTGAGCGATCGCTCCGCGAAACATACTTTTTGAAATTCTCTTCATAGTATATCTTCCACCATTGAAATTTCGAATTTCTTCGAATTTTTTGCTGAGAGGGGTGGCTTGCAACCTCGATATGACTTGTTCCAGGCATGCTTTGGAGCCATCGCCTGTTGAAACAGTGGCGGGAAGCTGCCCTGCAACTGTTCCAACAGGAAATTAATCGATCCGAGAAAGCGTGAGTCCGCGAATCTCGGTTGAATATTGAGTATTTCAAGCCTTTTCACGACGAAGATGGAGTTCTTTTTGGAGATGGACGTCGCGGCAAAGGACATGGTGTCTGACTTCTGGCGTCTGGTGAAGCCAGGGATCATTTGTCCAGTCAGGTCGGCAGCCTAACCGTCGGTAAGCTTGTGTTTGGATCCCGTTCTGCTCGATGTGGTAGATCACAAACAATTTGATATCGCACAAATTGATCTCAGCATCGTCGTACGGTATTTTATATTCAGAAAATCCCAAAGTGTCTCTGTGTGGCCGTCCTATGCCACGAGAAACTCCAATCAGGCTCCTATGTCCTCTGCCTTCATGATTGAATGTCCACTTCGTTTGAACAACGAACACAACAATCGAGGACGGCTTTGCAATGAAAAATACAGCTATACTGGAGCTGAAAAAAAGAAGAAAAAAACGTGCTCAGGATGAGACTCGAGTACACGCATACTCTCCCAGCAGGTGAAACGAAAATTTTTGTGAAAAATGCGAGTCGCCGACTGACCAGTAATTTCGCCTGACGTCTGCTCAGGAGGGTCAGGTTTGCTCTAATTGAAATCTCCTATGCAGGTCCTGGGCACTTAGCGATATTGATTGTTATGTGCTTGTCGTCTTTTCTTCTCTACTCAGATCCCGGCAAAACCGAATGGTCATTTGCTCTTTCGGAACACGATGCCTTGGGTAAGGGAGAGCGATTAGGCCGGCAAAGGAAACCACAACTCAATAATGCTGCGCAGGCTTCGCCTTGTTCTGCTGTCAATCTATTGTTGATCCAAACTCTACACGTGCAGTCATAGATGCTGGGCCAGCGATACTGGTAGATTGCCAGCACGCCCGTATCCAGATCAAGCAGAAGCCCTTTAGGAAGCCACCCATATCCAGATCAAACAGAAGCGTTTCTACTAATGGTTCCCAAGGTTGATGACTTGGAAGTTGAGTCATGACCAAGGCAACTTGTCATGTACTTTTTTTATACAGCATGACTCGCGTGACAGGATCTTCAAGGCTGTTCAGCATGATTATTTACTCCAAATTGTGTCACTGTACTTTTCTTCCTGCCAGTGAAAAAGCTTGCGAAGCTGAACAACTGTCGACCGAAGCCGATACCATCCAAGGTGGTGAAGATGCTGCTGGGCTCAGATCCTCTGCAGAGCTCATCTCCTGTTTTGGGACACATTGGTCCCACGCTGCTCAATGCTCTCTTCCCGTTCCAGAAGCAAGGTATTGAGTAAGTTAGTTCTGTGTTTTCTATACAGCCTTTCAGCAATTGAATATCATGTACCTTCCACTTATGGACGTTGTTACTTGTTCAAAATTGACCAAAATTTCTGGAAGGATGCTTTTAGATTTCCACCGCTTGTCCGAGTGGGAGAGATTGGGGAATCATTCTAATTCCTGCCATAGACGATAGTGTTTTTTTGTGCTTATGCTGGTGCCTGTGTCTGTGTCTTAAGGTTTGGAATATCTCGCAATGGTCGTGTGTTGCTGGCAGATGAGATGGGCCTTGGCAAGACGGTACAAGCCATAGCGCTGGCGGCTTACTACCGCAACGAGTGGCCTGTATTGATCGTCTCACCATCCTCTGTTCAGTACATGTGGGCCAAGGTACATGTCATGCATTGTTCTTTCTTTTTCAACAGCAAGAGTCTATTCTCTAACATGCACACACACATAGCAGGGACGTAGGAGGGTTTTGGAAGTGGTACGACCGAAGGTCGGTGCGGCCAAAGGCCGTGTTGGAGGGGGTCCGGGGGACCTCCCGCGGGAAAATTTTGTAAAAAAGACACAAAATCCTGCGTTCTGGGAACTTCTGGCGCAGTGTGCAGTCGAGTCGAGTACTATACTCGTACTAGTGGTCTACGACTGCAGATGCATAACAGATCTACGAGTACGAGTCTAGAAAAAGGTCAAAGTCTGATGCGCATATGCATCGATGGATCCTGATTTTTTTTATTACGGTTTTGCACGTTCCGGACGGACCACACTTTTCGAAAAGTGGTACGGCCATGGTCGTACCAGTCGTAGCGGGTGCTACGCCCCTGCATATGCAACGTATACACTTTGCTTGCATGCCTGCGTACTACGGGTATGTATAACGAGTACTTACTAGAATATTATTGAAACGCGCTCTATTCATAGGAGGTTGGATACATGTAGATCATGGTCAGGGCTCACAGTAGGCATGCAGGACCGACAAAAGCGTCGTGCGAGGGCGGGTTTGGTGCACGTGAGTCACGTGACCCCAGGAGAGTACCGATCGTGTACATCCCACGCATCCAAAACAGAACAGAAAAGAGAAAGAACCCGAGTTGTTATTGTACCATGTGTACTGTTCTCGTAGTTTTAGAGCCGATGTTCGCGATATTTTGGAGGAGAAGGCGAAACGCAACCTGTGCTAGTCCCAGTAAAAACAACATGCCATGTTCGACCAAGAGCTGATCCTACAATGAGCGGTCGTGATGATTCCACAGGTAAGAAGACAAACAAACGAGTCAGAGCTAGCCAGGTAGGTAACGCCGAGAACATGATGATACCACACGGAGCTGGTGATCGGATGGAGGTGAACGGGACCAGCAAATCCACCGGGCTTTTGTCGAGGGCCACTGAAGACCAGGTTTCCCAGGGTGCCAGTTCCTCCATGATGGCGAAATGCGCTGCCACAAGAACTCCAGCGAGAATGAAAGCACAGCAACCAACGCCGCGGGCGAACTGAGGAGAGAACACTGAACAATCTGTGCACAATGATTTTCTCTTCGACGGCACGCGTTGTTGTTCTGCTGCATGCATGCGTTTTTCTTGTTGTTTGATCTTCACACATTTTCGCGCAAGCGGTTGCGCGCCACTGGGACTCGGGGTTACTAAAATTAGTACAGAGCATCTCCCCCTTGGTCGATTTGGACAATCTATGGCTCAAAATTTTCAGGAGACCCTGGCAAAGAAATTTACCGAGACGTTTTTGGATACTCCTTTCGAATGCTGTACTATATCTCACGAAGTTTACGCATATGCTCTGGCATACCCGTGTGAGTAATGAAAGTTTGTTTCGGTAAATCTTTTGGAACACCTGTCATCTGTGCCTGGGCCAAGTCTCAGCTTCGTAGAACCAGGCTGAAGTGCTGCTAACTCTTTCAAACACCCCCTACTTCGAGCAAAAATGCGACGAAATGCTGACTGCTGATTGGCCAAGCTGGCATTTCGGAGCACGTGCACCGCCCCCATCTAATCGACGCTTTTCTACGCAACTGTGAGCCCTGATGTTATCCTGTGTGACAAGACACATTGTTCAGTGTTCAGTTATCTGAATGGTCTCAGAAGGACTTATTGGTGATTAATGCTAGTGATTACGCAAGGTTGAACAGTCCCAGTTGTGTGGCTGGTTTACTCTTAGTGTAGCATTGCATTTTGTCTGGCTTTGTCTGCCAGTTATTTGGGAACTCGTGGCCTGGCACGAGGGAAACATGGATGCAGTGCATGGGATTTTCGGTCTTTGGCCACTTTGTGGTGGGTCTGATCTACTCACCTCCCACCGCTTCGGAACTGCATCTGCGCCTTGATCCAAGAGGGTGGTGGCGTTCCTGCGGATGCGGAAAACTCGGCCTTTAGCCGAGCCTTGCGCGACCCATGAATATATATATTTTTTTGTTGTCTGCCTTTACTTTGTTTCACACAGTTATACACCTTAGGAAGACCTTTACTTTGTTGTTGTTGTTTTTGTGCACAAAGTCGTTCCTGCATTGGATTCCATCCTTGGAAGAGTCAGACGTCAATGTGTTTCGTAAGGGCACGGATGATCCGAACAAGGGCCTGATCAACATTGCTAGCTATGGTCTGCTATCCCGTCATCCTAAGCTCTTCCAGGAGGAACGGTATCAAGTCGTCATCTTGGTGAGTGGTGGTGCATTGCATGTGGCGTTGCTGTGTCACGCTGTGTATGCCTGAACGACACGTGCCACAAAGGCTGTGTGTGTGTGTGTGCCAGCTAGTTCGGTTGGTGGGTACACTTATGCCTGATTGTGTTGGGTCTGTTGCCAACAGGCTCGGCTGCATGATGGTGTGTTGTTGTATCTGCCACCTTTGTTGGTTTCAGGGTTCATATACTTTCTATTTGAAGTATACATACCTGTTAACCATGGACTGCTTCTGGCTAGATTAACTCTTGTGTAATCAATGGTGCTAGTGATGCTTATATCAGATTCACTCTGATTTAGCCACCCACACTAGTAGCAAGTATTACCTTCACTGGGGGCAGGGGTAACTGCAGTTGGATCCCGGGACGGATACCCTGATGCCGTCAATCCTTTTTCTGCACCTTGTCCTCACCCACTTACTGAGGTGTGGTGAGCCCATAAGTGGGATCATTTTCAAGTCCACCCAGAGTTTTGGGGATTTCAGGGGGTGTCGGCCGTTGGGCGGTTCAATAGCCAATTGAGCCATCTTTCCAGGATTCCTTTTGAGTCTCTCTCCCCTTTCCCGGGGAGACCCACGTGACCAGTTTTGGCAGTGAGCAACAAGTACAAGTGTGTGTGTGTGTGTGTGTGTGTGTGTGTGTGTGTAAGCATGTAATAGACGTGTGATTGGGAGAGAATCTTGGAAATATGTGGAGTGCGGGGACACACGTAAGCAAAGACCTGGTCTGAATGCATACCTGCCAAGTATCCAGATTTTTTTCGGGATTATCCCGCAATTTTGGATGAACTCCCGCGATCTCGAAATTCCTGTCGATTATCCCGAAATTCACTGTACAAGAAACAAGCTTGATATTGTACTTGGAGCACTTCAAATGACTTGTCACAGGCCAGTAATAGACCGATCCCCTTATTATACCGGGTTCGAGCACGGGGGCAACCTCACTCGCGATCGAGCTAGTTTTTGAACGTGACAGCATCTTTGACAGTGTGTTTCAGGTTTGTTTTGGAATGTCCTGCTTAGTTCAAGTAGTTTGCGATGGCTTCGAGTGGTGCTAAACCTCCTGCTGGTAGGAGCAGAGTCTCCGAGAGAGACATGGACTGTGATGCCGCTGCAGGATTTTTTCAAGGCGCGGGAGGGAACGATCTCGGGCCACAAACAGGAGTTACTCCAGAGGTGAGTTTTTTTGTTGTTGAAATATTCGAATCGCGAATCGTGTTGTGAGATTTATTTTGTGCCTAGGCTACAGCAGACCACATTTCTTTCTCCTTGCGATCGGTGCTGAAGATAATATTAACCATTTTCTGGTCTGTCTTTTCCTCTCCAGAGCCATCTTCTATGAAGGTAACCGTGGTGCTGCCAAGTCACCAAGTCGCGATCAGCAGCCCTGAAGTGGAAAATCGATTTTCCAACGATCTGGTTGGACATCAGCCACTAAAGTACTTCTGATTTGCCTGTAATGACAACAGCAGCCATCCTTGGACACCTTGCAAAGACAGGAAAGCCACTGGTGGAAGCGACTGCTATGAGGTGACGATAGCAGTGCAGTGGTGATCGCTGTTTTGTCAAGTCGAAGGGCTAGCCAACCCAGAGGAAGCATAAAAAAACGATGTGCAGTGCGTGTTATTTGTTGAGCGTGAAGAGCTAGAGGAGGACAGTGCAAACACATGGACGGAGTGGATGGTGTTTGAAGAACAGTGTGCTGTGTGCCGGCTGGTGGTGATGGTGGTCTTTGTCAGCATGTATTCGTGCTGCTTCTTGTGCTGGAACACTTCTCGCCCAGGAAGGCAGATTGCGTGCTCCCTGGCCCTCAGTTGGCTATGGGGCATTTGTTCCAGGAACATTACCCCAGAGCCAATGATGAGTCATACCTTTGAAAAGTCGAAGCTTGCTGTTAATCGCAAGCGTAGCGCAGTGGATTGCTCCCTCTTCGAAGCACGAGGGCCAAAGCTTGCCGCTGTCTGCAGCAAAGTGTGTGTGTGCGGTTCTTTCGAACCTATGAATATACCCCCCTGCACGTTCAGAGTGAACTATTTTCTAGTATATTTAACATCCTCAACCCGCCACCACCATGCGCTCTTGGCCGAACTAATGCACGAAGCATAAACACACCAGCACAGCAAGGACACTTCCGTTGACAGATATTGTTTACGCCTCTAGACCGCTGTTTCTTTTCTTCGAGCTCATCGTTAGAGGAGGATAGTAGCAGGATACTAATGATGATATAATAGAAGATGATAGACGGTTTATGGTCCGATATTGATGATTGAATATCTAAGAAAGCAATGACAGTGATTGCGAAATGGATAATATTATCATGATTATATGCCAGTCTGGTAATGCGTTGTACTAGTGGACAGTATTGAAATCATCACTGCATTCGATGCAAATATTGGTATACCTTTGGTTTCAGTATTGGAAAAAAAGAGTAAGAGAACCTGGTTGATTTGGTTGCATCTGCGACTGGCTACTGGGTGTTGTGATCAGCAATGTTACCATGGGAGAAAATAAGAGCGCAAGGATCTGTTGGGTCTTGTTGTGCCGGTGCGAGAACCCTAAGTGCATGGCAAAATAGAACTGTTTCATCCACAATGCAGAATGTCTTGCGGTACATGGCATTGATGACTGAACATCTCGCCAGCTCGCCCAAATGGGGATCATGCCCAAACGGAGGAACAAGAACTTTCCAGCTCAGCTAGCTATATAGTATATACCGTGAAACGGATGATTAACTTGTGCTACGCATTACAGCTTCTGTCCCATTCGGCCCAGGCTTAGACACATCAATGCCAATAGCAGCTGATCCTCCATTACATGCTCATTGGCGATTTACGGCCACCTCCAACTGTATCCGCCGTCCCTCAGCTTCCGTCTTCGCAGATCTGGCTCGGCGCAGTACATTTTCTCGGCTAGGCTCAAAGAAGTCCCACAGAGCGGTCCAAACACCTGAAGGCAAACCAGTCAGAAACTGGCGCGGCTCAGAGTCTTTCTTTATGTTATTGTACGTAAGCTGTTTTTCGGCTTTCTTCACCCCATCGTCCAACTGCTCCATGAGACTCTGTACACGAGCTCTACTTGCTGCCAACTCCTGATGCAGATGCTGCACTTCCATTACAGGACCAAACTGCACTAAGCCACTAATGCCGTTGCCTCTCAGCAAAATACTGGTTTGCGAGCATGGGGAGCTCGTGATGCAGACGCTGCACTTCCATGACCGAACTGCACTAGGCTCAGCAAATACTGTTTTGCGAGCATGGGGAGCAGAGCGTCCAGACTCCACTCTCTTGCGAAAAGCAAACCTGGTACCGTAGGACAGCTGTTTGGTTTCCTGGACTCATCCTGCCCTTGTAGAGCTGGCAAAACGATTTCGACTTCGGGATCGAAATGATCGCTGCATCTCAAATATTCAGAGTGACCCTAAAACTACGTCCTTCCTCACGGGGAATAGCCTGGATCCGCTTGCTCCAGGCCGCTGTGGCTCCACACGACGAAAGGAGTGAAATGACTTGTTTGCTTCGTCCTCCTGTTCTGACAGTGAGGAACGCAGCAATGATCCTGAGAAGGCATCCTGAAGTCGTAAAAAGGAAGACGTCTAAACAAAAACAAAACAGCTCAAATCAAAAGTCCTTGTGGCATTTTTTGTAGACAGGCTTGCACTGCGTGTAGATTTTGCGTGCTCTGCATGCACTTCGCATGCGAGAAGTCACGCAAAGCCGAGGTGAGGTTGGTCGCGTGTGTGCAGCAGGATCCCACGCGACTGCGGAGTTGCCCCCTTGCTCGAACCCAGACAATAATAAGGGGATCGGTCTATTGTCCTTATTGATCCCGGACCGCCATAGCTTGCAGTACCAGTGGATCTCCTAGTGCTCCTGTGATCAATCATCTATTATCGAAATGGTGCCATCAAAAGTTGAAAAAAGGATTTGTTGGTAAAAATATGACATATCCCGAAAAACCAAGGCAAATTCCCGGAATTTGCCATGGCGATCCAGAAAAAGCACTCTCAGTACTTGGCAGGTATGTGAATGGAAGCAGTGATCTAGCCAAAGCCGGCTCAGCCGGCAGAATGCCGGCTGGGAGGGCGACCCAGTCACCCCCATGTAGACTGTAGTGCCCCATATCCTAGGCGTAGGTATGTACAGTACAGTACAGTACATAGCACTGGCTACTTAGGCTCAGTGCTAGCTCGTCACCCAAGCTCAAATGCACTTGAGTATGCACTTGCGTACGTCAGTAAAATGTAACAGGTTGGGTCATGGTTCGCTGCTTCTGGTGGTGTACATGGCTGTGGCTAGGCTGGGTCTTGTCAGATGACCAATGACTATGTACACTGCATGCAGACATGACCTTGGTGAACACATGATCCATGCTCATGTAGCTGTTTGCTTCCTTTTCCATATTTTGTTAATTTACCTATAATCACATTCACGTTCACAACTGCCTCATGAATGACCATAATTGGACGAAGCGAAAGGAGATGCAAGCTACAATGAAAGATTTGTAGTGGTGTGTGTGTGTGTGTGTGTGTGTGTGTGTGTGTGTGTGTGTGTGTGTGTGTGTGTGTGTGTGTGTGTGTGTGTGTGTGTGTGTGTGTGTGTGTGTGTGTGTGTGTGTGTGTGTGTGTGTGTGTGTGTGTGTGTGTGTGTGTGTGTGTGTGTGTGTGTGTGTGTGTGTGTGTGTGTGTGTGTGTGTGTGTGTGTGTGTGTGTGTGTGTGTGTGTGTGTGTGTGTGTGTGTGTGTGTGTGTTGTGTGTGTGTGTGTGTGTGTGTGTGTGTGTGTGTGTGTGTGTGTGTGTGTGTGTGTGTGTGTGTGTGTGTGTGTGTGTGTGGTGTGTGTGTGTGTGTGTGTGTGTGTGTGTGTGTGTGTGTGTGTGTGTGTGTGTGTGTGTGTGTGTGTGTGTGTGTGTGTGTGTGTGTGTGTGTGTGTGTGTGTGTGTGTGTGTGTGTGTGTGTGTGTGTGTGTGTGTGTGTGTGTGTGGATACGTGACTGATGGCGGGGGTCTGGGGGCACAGCCCCCAGAACGATGCATTTTAACTGGAACGTGTTGGCCGGCTGGCATAAAATCCTGGCTAGACCTCTGGGAAGCGTGATCTGACCATTGGCGCATCGTTGGAAAGGATAAGGATGTGCTTTGATGACTTCTATCAAGTAAACATGTGCATGTTGTATTGAGTGTTGTGTGCAGTGCATGTTGTATGGAGTGTTGTGTGCAGTACATGTTGTATTGAGTGTTGTGCGCTGTACATGTTGTATGGAGTGTTGTGCGCTGTGCATGTTGTATGGAGTGTTGTGCACTGTGCATGTTGTATGGAGTGTTGTGTGCAGTACATGTTGTATGGAGTGTTGTGCACAGTGCATGTTGTATGGAGTGTTGTGTGCAGTGCATGTTGTATGGAGTGTTGTGTGCAGTACATGTTGTATGGAGTGTTGTGTGCAGTACATGTTGTATGGAGTGTTGTGTGCAGTACATGTTGTATGGAGTGTTGTGTGCAGTACATGTTGTATGGAGTGTTGTATGCAGTACATGTTGTATGGAGTGTTGTATGCAGTGCATGTTGTATGGAGTGTTGTGTGCAGTACATGTTGTATGGAGTGTTGTATGCAGTGCATATCACCCTCACTGTGATGTACATGTATTGCTATCACAGACAATGTGTAAATCAACTCCCGAACCTCACTGCCCATGTCTGACATAGGTACTGTATAAAAGTGGAGGTTGTGGCATTTCCTATGCATTTCTCTGTAATGGCGCGGTGTCAGTGAAACGGGTGTTGAAAATGCGGTTTGCCTCTTGTGTTCTTTGCTGCGGACACCTGTGACCTACTGAAGTACATCAATGTGGGTGGGGTTTCCTGCAGTCTGTACTCTCCCCAGGGTTGCTGAAGAGCTGTTTGGAACTCTTGGTTCACTCTCGCTTTGCATTTCTCTGTCATTCACTCCCAGGACGAGTCGCACTTCATCAAGAACCGAACAACTCAGCGTTATAAGGCGGTGGCACCCGTACTCCAGGTGAGTTATTACGTTCGGTGTTTCTGCAGGAGGGTTCAGCTTGAGCGGCGCCTAGAGCAGGCTACTGAAAGACCACGTTTATCAACGAACATTGACTTTGCCTCATCAGAGGAATATTCGTTCGGTTGTCTAAGCTACATTCGAGAGATTATTTGTTTGAAAGCACCATTCGTTGCATCACTACTTTACAGTATGCACGTCCATTCACTTGTTGGGGAATTAGTAGTTGAAACTACATGTACATGTACCTTTCTGTGGTGCACTAGTGGTTGATGGTGTAACTTATGTTGCTGTACGTGTATATATATGAGTGTTGTACAGAGAGCGTCACGCGCCATCTTACTATCCGGAACACCTGCTCTTTCTCGACCCATAGAGCTCTACACCCAGGTCGAATGTGTACGGCCGAAGCTGCTTCCTTACGCACATCAGTACGGGATACGCTACTGCGCTGGATTCCAGGTCTGTCGTGCTCTTCCTGACGTGTGTGAACATATGTGTGTGTGTGTGTGTGTGCGCGCGCGTGTGTGTGTGTGTGTGTGCACTCTGATTTAGCCACCCACACTAGTAACAAGTATTACCTTCACTGGGGGCAGGGGTAACTGCAGTTCACGGCTGTTTCTGCCAGCGATTTTTGGCCATCTAACATGGCGGGGGGTACCCGCTGATTTTTGCAAAAAATCAAAGATTAATCATTTTTACGTTGAGATTAAGGTGAGTTGCTATCATTCTTCCGCGATTTACCGCCGCTAGCCCCACATTTTTGATACTAAATCCGCGGGAGTGGAAAGCTGACGCGCACAGCAACATTTTGGTACCAAACATTCCTTGATCGGACGAAGGAGAAGGAAGTTGCTTTCTGTTTTGGCGCAGTGGAATTATCGACTGAAATTGCTGTCAGTATATTGTTAGCTACCTTCATCACGCTCGTGGTACGTCTTCTGGAGTTATTCAGTCACCACTCGAGGTTTTCCTCGCATCCTCGGGTAGTTGTCCGTTATATTTTCGCAAGTTCTTTTGAATACGATTGTGAAATCAAAAATACGATGGGCCTTTACTTTTCTCTGTTTCCAGTGGGAGATATGCACATCTGCGACGCATCGCACGACATGGAGCACCATGCAGCGCATTTACAGCATCTATGCCGTGTTGGAGGCGCAAAATTTACTGCGTGCTCCCAACAGACGAGATATCCAGTGTCTGACTACACTGAAACGATGAAAAACGTATTCAGTATTGATGTTTGTAATGACGACCCTACCATTCACCCAACATATATCTGTGCTCTTTGCCAAAGAGTGCTGAAGAGATCACAGAGCACAGAGAAGTTCAATCCCAGTGGCGGTGGTTGTGGACAAGGGGTAACATTTAGTTAGAAAAGACATGAACCTGTGATTTGCAGAGTCTGCACCAAGTTTCAAGAAAAATCGAAGGGTGGCCGACCAAGCAAACGGATAAAAACAGCAAGCGGAGCATGCAGCAAAAATGACATCAAGCAGTAGCA